GATACATCCACATGGCAACCTTTAATGACTAGTGCAAAACACTTTACAACGTTCATGTACATGTTACGTCCAGCGCTCCTCTATCTCACAGTAAGAAAATAGTATAATGCCTCGAGGCTACACAAGTCTGACCTCCCAGACTTGTATATGAATCACAATTAATATAGAGCAACAAACAACCTAACACCGAAACATTCAGGGGGGGGGGAGGAGGGGGTTAAGTTGGTGTTGAAGGGGGAGGGGTTTAATCACTTGCTGAGGGGGTGAAAGTAATGTTATAGAGATTTAATTTGTGCTGGAGAGGTTAAAGTGATGTTGGAGGGAAGAGATTATTGTTGGAAATCGTATTAAATGAATGTTGCTGGAACGGATTTAAGACGTGCTGAGGAGGAGATAAAAACAGTGTTGGAAGAAGAGCTTTAATCAATGTCGGAGATGATCTTTTAATCTGTATATCGGGTTAATAAGAAAATTATATTCTCTTCCGTTTTGGAGGGACAGGGAGGTATGATAGTGTTCTGGTACCTCAAAGGGGGAAAAAGGTGCTAGGTATTCTGAGTAAGGGGGTCAGTACGGTGCTTGTTTTCTCAGGATAAGAAAGAGGACAGGTATGATATTGTGCTCTTTTTATAAATGTTAGTGTGGTAGGTACTGCACTGTGCTGGATATCCTAGGGTAAGGGGAGGGTAAATACGGTATTGTCAAGGTTATCTTAGACTAAAAGGGAAGATATCTTAGGGCAAGAGGGAAGGTAGGTACGGTGCTATATTATGTATAGTTGGTTACGAAGGAATTACAGGTACGGTATAGTGCTGTATATCATCAGGTGAGGGAAGGAAGGCAGGTGCTGTGTTGTCTTAGTGTAAGGAGGGGAGGGGGAGGTAGTAAATCTGGTGTGCTGTGTATCTCAGGAAAAAAATAAATGCTGGATTGAAGGCCAGAATTATTGACTGTTTTGGTCCAGTGATCTTCAATCATCCACCAACACTTTTCTTCTTTCCCTTTGGCGCTGTAAACCAAATATTTTTCTTACTAAAACAACGGAAATGAAAACCAGAAGTGTTTTATCTCTGGCAAGCAGCATCACACTCTCCGCTTTGCCTTTACTGTCCTGCAAAACACTAAATAATTCTAGCCTAAACTTATACACTAATTCGCCTGAATTTTTTTTTTTTACCCTTTTCACATGATTATCACAAAGCATTTACAACATGAAAAGCGTTACACCCTGTTCATGCCTTGACGGTTTTGTCAGTAAAGTGTAAATACTGTAGTTTGTTCCTACGGAAGGAGGGGAAAGTTCAGGAGGGTATGATGGAAGGAATGAAGGATATACGGGGATGAAGACTGATATGGGTTGAGAGAAAGATGGAGGATTCAGAGGACTAAGGGTGGGAGTACGATGGAGGATTTAGGTATGATGGAGGTAAGGGAGGTTCAGCTTGGGATGATGCAGGATGAAAACTATGCAGGATGGGGGGGGGGCAAATGGAGAGAGAATCAAGGTTTTAAAGGGGCTTATGGATGTAAATACTTTCATATGACCGTCATGGTTAGCCTCCAAATCCTTTTGCGGTGAGATTATAGAGTAATGTATAGGAAACTGGGTAGTGAGAAATGCTTATATGTAAATATGATTAGGAGAGAGAAATCTGCATATAGATTGATATATAGTGAAATATCAAAGGAAACAAGAGTTAAATAAAAGAAAGGAAGAATAGTAGTAGAATTACACTAATATGATAAAGACATTGGAAAAATCAGGAAAAGGTGTTTTAGAAATGCATTTTGAAGGGCGAGAAAAAGACTGACGTAGGAAAGCTAATCACATCGAGTTATGTACACATTTATCACATAAATCATTAAGCCTATACATATTTTGAGACTTTGTCCAGCATATTACATGATTAATGATATGCGCATTTTAAATGAAGGTGATCATAAAAATTGGGTATATAAAGTTCTCAAAAACATTGCTGAATACAGAATATATTTGGTCCCTCACATTCGTTCCTGATGCAGTTCATTCAAAACTGAAGCAATACAAGCATTCAACATTCAACCAAAAGCCGATATAACGATTATAATGCAATTGAGATCACTCCAACTGAAATACTCGTCGGAGCCGACAGCTCCATTAACAGCAAGAGCAAGTGAGTTTGACGCTGAGATCACTGTCGTGTCACAAGTGTTAAATTTTCACTGTTAAACGTTTCTCTGAGTTTGTCTTTAAACTTGGTTGAAGCTTTCTGGTTTGTATTTTACTCACTAATACTTGAGGAATGTGTCGTTGTAGCTGCGAGCTTCCTAGCCAGATAGTTTCCTTGAGGAGGAAAGGAAGGAGTCATTGTTCGTGTCTATACTGGCGTCACGGAGCAGTGTCTGTAGCAGCGTCACGGCACAGTGTCTGTAATGGCGTTGCAGCACAGTCTGAGCACAATGTTTTGCACACCACCGATCACGATTCCAATAGTGGAAGAATTCAACACTTTTTGAACACTGCAACTCGAATGAGTGTTTAGATTAAGTATGGGCTAAATTGAGCAGAGAGCACCTCACACCTGAGCCTCTTGGCACCTGCCGATACCTTGCAGTACCACCGCACCTGTGGTATCTTACACCTGGGTCACATTGCGACGCTTGCGGTCAGCCTGTGGCAGGTGTGGCAGATGGGGGGCGGGCGTGGGGGCAGCGGTGCGGGCACGGGAGAGAAGGTGACCGGTTAAGGGTTCGTCCCAGGCGGCGGCGTAGCTGGTGTAGTCTGGTCCCGGAACGGAGCAGTGACAGGGAGCTTCCTCGTGCGGGCAGGGAACAAAGACTTGGGGTTCGCTGGACACTGGTCGGTAATCCGTCACTGTTACGTCCGGGAAAGGTGCCTGCAGAGGGTTGCCGTCCACCTGGTAGGCCACCATACCGTCTTCGGCAGCACCACTGTGGACCGAGAGGCGACGTTCGTGTTCTTGTAGGAGAGTGGTTGCGCCCCATGACTGGACCGGAGAAAGTGGTCTGCCGTCTCTAGTAGGTTCAGATGTATCCTTGACCACACTATCTAGAGACTCGTGGCTGCCACCGCCTTCCTCGATACCCAGAGATCTCGACTTTACCATAACACTGCTGCTGCCTTGCACTTTCTCCACGCCCTTCTCGTGCTTTTGTTTGCGTCTTTTGCTAGTGTGGCAGTAGCAGTAGGAGACCAACACTGCTACTACAATCAGAAATCCACCAATGCTGCCCAGTATAACAGCCACATCTTCCAGCTGAAGTTCGGTCATTCCTACAGGACGACCTGATCCAAGCTCTGAGGGCATCGTGTAATTACCTGAAACATGAGAGAAACATTTAGTGGGAATTCTTACACTGTTGATCAACGTGTCTATGAAACAGTATCTTAGTGTGCACAAGACATCATATTAATACTAAAACACTGTATGGTAGTTGCCCCACAAGTTATGTTCACTATGAGAACATAACTTGTGGGGGACAGAGGATCGAGTCTCCGCCACTACATGAACTTGATATAAATACAACATCTACGTGTTTCGACTGCTACGCGATTCTGTAGTGTTTTCTGCATCACACAACTCGAGCTGCTTGAACCTCGATGCATACATAAGGTTAAGGGGCTGAGGCTCCAAGCACTCTGGTCCTGACGTTATTACTATTCCTTCCCAAGGGATACACGAGGCAGAACAAGTACCTAAACACCCTTAAAGACCCACGAGCTGTTAATTATCTGAAAAAAATACAGCGGCTGTACATCACCCTCAAAAGACTTAGAGCTGAATATTAAGGCGAAGTGTTCGACCAAACTTAGCGAGCGATTTCCTAAGAATTTTCTCAAGAACAATACTATCATTGAGGCTGGTGTCTCGAAAGGTTTGGTCTCCTGTTACATCACGGAAACCAACAGATTGTGTTATGCTAGAAAACAGTACCGTATAATAAATGTTTTATTCATAAATTTTTAATTTGTAGGCTTTAGATCAAAATTATTTCCTATACGGTCAAGTGCACTTACGTGAAGAACATAGTCCAGAGGGATGATACTCCAAATTTTGATTAAAAAAAAAAAAAAAAAAAACACTGGCAAACTGGCTGTTGTGAACTTCAGTAGCAAATCGAATTTTCATAAAAGATATGCCAGCGCGACTGTCTCGCGCTTAGCAGACGGAGGATCAAGCCTACACTACGTCTTGCTCTGAATAACCCATTCGGGTTTAGCTCTTATGAATTAAACAAAATTTCTCAGGTTATGACAAAGTAACTAATACCACATTTCGGTCTCTAAAACTGCCCATTTTACGTCAATTATCATCGTCTAAACATGATCTCCAGCGTTGGTGCCGCTCAGGAGTTCTGAAACCATGCACGAAAACCTTAGGAAAAGAAGAAAAGACATACGCATGCGATTTTAGCTTTCCCTCTGTACGCATTTCTTTCGGGGATACCTGATTACGTTTACGGAAGTGTTAAATCTAAGTTTGCAGTATCTCCCATCTTGCAAATGAACCTCTGCATGCGTGTGCTCGACATTGCAATTTTCCATTTACAGACTTGTCACGCGGTGTTTTCAGCCGTGACAATAGACGTACTGAGAACTTACCGGAGGTGGTTAGGGCTGGCTGGGTCCTGGTGGTAATCTCGTAGGTGGTGGGAGGACGTGGTACCCACAGTGTGGCAATGTTACCCACTCCACCTATATTCCCAGCCTCGTCCACTGCCCGCACCGTCACGTACCAGAGCTGAAACACCCACGTACACACAAGTTAGTCCTTATTCAAACACTATTACGTACGGAATTACGTAAATCAGGTGATCTAATATTGCGCCACGTGTGAACGTTCTAACCTTTGCTAGAAGAATATTAAACATTTTCCCAGAATATATCAAGCGTAAGCATTCAAAATATCCTTTGAACATGCAGCAATAACATAAAGAAAAATATTTTGTAACGAATATTTAATAAAAACAATAAATTAGTTTAACAATTCTATAAATTCAGTTGCAGTCTATAAAAGCTCGTTTCATGCAAAAGTAATTCAAACTTCTGTCATAATTAAATGCAAGAGACATATATGGTTTTATTAACGAGTGTGAAATTTGAATAATGAAATTAACTAAATGTTGAAAATTTCAAAATTTCCCTAAATGCTTGAAAATATCGAGAAAGACGAAAGTAACCATTGAAATCAATAGACTGGATTCGTTAAGCCGTTCTTATTGTTAAATATGTGGATGGGAGCAGGAGTTTTTGATAAAAATCTGCCTTGTAGGGGCCAGTAGGTCTGCTGCAATGTTCCTCTCAAGGGCTACTAGAAACTTCTTAATATTAAATATACTAACCTCTTCGTATCTGGTGAAGCGGAGGCTGGTGGTGTGCAGGGTGCCTGCAGGGAGAGGCTGGGGCAGACCTGTTAGCCTGTCACCCTGGAAAGCTCTAGCCTCCCTCCAGAAGGGTGCCACCACTGCCTCGTAATGATGTGCGCGATCCACATCCCAGTCATCTCCTGGCGCTGTCCAGCGAAGACTGATCTCGTGTACTGTATCGTTCACCTCCACGCGGAGGTCCAGAATGCGTGAGGGAGGAACGTTGTCCCGCACGGGAGGCGGAGACACCACTTCGAGAACACCCCAAGTAACGTAACGCAAGAAGGGTGGAGCGCGACGGGTGTGGACGTGAGGTAGCACAGAGCCGCAACAAGACTGCTCGTTGTTCCAGTTGTCGTAGTTGTGCTGGTAGTAGTGAGGAAGGTGCGCTGAGGAGCTCTTGTGGTGGCGTGTGGGGGGACCCTTGGCTATCACAGCCAGCCCGCTGTTATAGTCTATATCAGCACTCAGGAGATAGCGTCCTGGGTTCCAGGTAAAGAGGGCAGGTAGCGGGAGTATACACCATCGCCTTTGGTGATGTCTGGATCTAGTAATATAAGGAAAGCAGTTATCAGGTATAGTCACTCGCGAGTGTAATAAATTTACTCTTGCAATTTGACTACAATGAAAGAGAGAAGATTACAAGGGCCTTCCGTGTCTCAGTTAGTCTAAAGGAATACAGACACAGACTGAAGTTTCAATAAAGTTCCTGGCTGCAAACTGTTTGTATCTTTTCCACAGTGATTGATAGATTACCTAAAAAAACAACGGGCTTCCCGTCACACTCTTAGCTGATGGAGGATCTAACCTCGCCTCTTCTGGCGATGAATGACCCAAATGGGTTCGACGGTTTATATTAATGTATTAACTGGCACCTCTTTCTCATTTCATTGTAGTCAAATTACATTTTTATGTTTTCTTTAGTGACTTGAGCTTAAGTTTGGAGTAGATGTAAGTAAATATAAAGAAAGAGTAGCGTTCTCACCTCCTATGCCGTTGTCCCAGAGATCTAAGAAGATAGGCTGGTAGTTGCTGCCTGTGGCGTTGGTGCCAAGTCTCTGCAACTTGGCTACCACTCTGGCATCCATGATGGGTGCCACGCCATCCTTCACCTCGGCGTAGATCACTACTGGCGTCGACGGGTCAGACGAGTTGACGGGACGAGAGCCAGAGCTTGTCCACAGCTTCACCTGTAGACCCATCGATGAGTTTCTCTTGGCTGTCACTTGCACGTAGAGTCCCTGGTGGGAGTCTGCACGGTTCTCCACGCTGTACGTCCACAAACCTCGCTGTCAACACACACACGTTCAGGTAAGACGCTGACGATCATGATAAAAAAAAAATACTGCACATGACATTTTGATACCAACAGCCGTAGCCCAGTGGTGAGAGTCGCGCCTCTCACCACTGAGGTCCGGAGATCGAATTCCTGCACTGAAAAAAGTAATAAACCTTTAAGAGAGTAACTCAGGTTGCAACATCGTTTCAATAATGGAAAAGTAATGTTTACTTCACTGAAGAGGGCCTCAGATAGTGGCCGAACTATTCTATCATTATGAAGATTTTTCTTGATAGTGAATTAACATTTCATGCAATATCATATTTTTTAAACAAAAAGTTTATTAAAATCTGTGAAGACAGTTTTGCTTTAAATTAATATTTTAAAACCAGATTTTATAAATAATTTCGCTGTATAGCCCTTGTGGCTTAGCGCTTCTTTTTTATTATAATAATATATATAATTTCTCTTTTTTTTTTAAATATATGGCCTAATTTTTGTACTAAATATCTCACCTCAGCTTTCTCAAGACTTATGAAGATCATGTTGACATCCCCATCTTCCTCTTGCACGTTGACGGAGGCGATCATCTGTCCTGAGGGTGCCGTCAGCTGGATGGCGTTGCCCACGTGATTTAAGTCGTAGTAGTAGACAGAGAACCGAGCGTTGGGGCCCAGAGAGTCATCCAGGGCGAAAGATCCAGCAGACATGGAAGCGATACCCCCAGGGTAGGCAGCGCTGTGGACTAACACGGGCGCCCCGGGGGCCGAGGAGGGAGCATTGTGCTGCACAGCAGCTAGTAGAGCATCCATTAGCGCTACCATCATCTTCACCTTTGAGTCATTACCGACACCTTCATCCATGACGGTATGGATGGTTCCCTTAGTGGCCACAACAAGAGACTCGAGACCGTGTGAAGTAGCGGCAGCTCCCCTTCGCTCCGTCAGCGGGTACAACACAGTTTCGATCTTCAGTAGTCTCTGCTCAGCCAAACGCGTCATCTCGTCTACTTCCCTCTGTGGCGTCGGGCCTGAGCCGGTGGTGATTAAGATGAGAGTAGCACCATCAGCGTTCTTGCCATCAGCATCCAGGACTCTCAATGCTTCCTGCATCCCACAAAGAATGCACTTGTGACTCTCAGGAACAGGCGAGGGGTTGCGAGGCAGGGAGGAACCTACTCTCTGTCTCATGTCTGAGTCGTCACTTTCGATGTAGGTTAGAGGGGCCACAGTCCGTGCCACTGAGTGGAAAGTCACTACGCCCACGTGGGCGCCGTTAGGAACATCGTACACCACCACCCGACGCATCGCCTTGCGCAGGAACTCCCAACGCCGCTACAAGAAGATGGAACATAGTCATCAAAATACAAACTACAACTAGATAAACATAACCATCAAATTGCCATATATAACAAAGCATTAAAAAATACAAACCTATAACTAGACAAACATTGCAAAAGTTTTTAATCATTATGAAACTGGTGTGTGAAGTCACGAAAATAGAGGTGAAACACGAAACGCAATGTCATTACCGCATGTCTTAATTCACATAAACATTAAACTTAATTATTAAAACAGGTAGCAAGTCAGTCTAGCTGGTGGCACACGGGACGTTGAAACCCCTTCACCACACCTTAGACTGCATAACCTACACGAGTTTGACACGTCCAGTAACAGAGAAAGGATGGCAGAAACTGACCTGTAGATTCATGGTGGCTGTGTCTTCAATAACAATGACGTATCGAGGGTTGGCTTGCTGGACAAACCTCAGGATGGGCTCCAGCCCTCGGCTCCCATTGCTGGCAGAGTTTCTGTCAGGAAAACAAACGGGTGCTGTTACTGATGGTGTACAATAACGAAAAGTTGAATATGGCTCTTGGGCATCTTTATTGCTGAAACGTTTCGCCCATAAAGCAGGCTTCTTCAGCCGAGTATAGGCTAATATTAAACCTTAATATTGTCTTGTTTTATATTCACCTATATTCGACTGAACAGAGATGAATATAAAACCTTTCGCTCTGTTCTACGAGCGAAATTTTTCGGCAATAAACACATCCAAGAGTTTCACAAGTCTCAAAATCACCATCAGACGGGTGACTGAAGTTAGGAAAACAGATGACTGAAGTCAGCTGTAACTTCAACATGTGTGGTTCTGCACAGTCTTCTCCATTGTGGTCTAACATTACGTGAAAAAAAAAAAAGAATGAACCTCGCTCACTACCTTCTGGTAAAGTTTCGCGAAAGCCTGGCTGCAGGAAAAGCGTCTCCGTCTCGCTATTAGCAAACGAAGGCTCGAACCTCAGCCACTCTTTCAGCTGAATAACCAACGCTGGTTTAGCATGCTTCACGTATAGCACTCCTGGCTATACCAGAGTGCCATCACCCAGTGCCAGACACCCTTGCCATCGTATTCTACTACAGTATTTTCTTGTATCAAAGTTTATTAAAAGGCTTCAACTGACTTTTTTCCCCCATTTGACAAAACAGAAATTAATCTATTTTTGGCTCTTACATAACAATTAGCACTGAAAAAAAACCCACAGGAATTCAAAACTTCATTGAAATATAAATATGACCTTAATAAAGATAGAACTACCAATAAATATTACAATAATAAAACCAGACATTCTGGATTATTTTTATTTTTTCCCCCCAAGATGTAAAACGTAATAAACAAAAGCAATAACAGAGCTTTTGTGACAATGTTTCGCTCTGTGTAGAGCTTTATCAGGTCAGTGATAGAGCTCCACACAGTCTTTTTTTTATATTTCAATTTCTGAATAACGAAAACAAATAAATCTTTTAGATTTTGTCTCGTCTATATCAAAGTAAATAATTTGTCCAGAAACAAGTTATATTATGGAGCTCTAAACCCGTAGTAGTCGTACAGTGTCTGGGGAGGAAAATGAGAGGAAATCAAGAACGGTTCAAGGGACGTGAAGGTCCAGTTCCCTGGATCAAAAAGCCCCCTCGCTGAGGTCTAGGAACGACCCCTGAGAGATAGAACTTTGAGTTGATTTGTAAGAAATTTTGCTACTCGTCAGTGATATATGTAAAATGAATTTTGCTTCGCAAAATTCGTTATATTTCCATACTTGACATGCAAAATTTATGCCTGAGATTATAATTATATATATATATATTATATATATATATATATATATATATATATATAAAATATATATATATATATATATACAATAAGATCACAGTAAACAGGTGATTTTAAAATATGCAAAACAACCACTGTGAAAGAGTAGTGAAATTCCAAGCGCTTTCGTGACTGCTCACATTGTCAAGGAACTATGAAAGTAATATATAAATTAGATTTATTTATAATTAATAAAATTTGGGAAGAGTTTAATAATATATTGGACAAATAATAAACTTTATTTCTTGGGTAGAATATTTTGTTAATGGGATGTCGTGAGGACCTGTCTAGTTGGACCAGCGGACCTACTGCAGTGTTCCTCTTTTCTTATGAGTCCGGTATTGTCGCGCGTCAGGTGTCTCTTTGTTGTGGGGGTTGACTGTGAGGTGTAGTCTAAGCCCTTTAATTGCCTTCCTTTGATGTATTACTTTCATAGTTCCTTGACAATGTGAGTAGTCACGAAAGCTCTTGGAATTTCACTACTCTTTCACAGTGGTTGTTTTGCATATATATATATATATATATATATATATATATATATATATATATATATATATATATATATATATAAAACTTTGTGCCTCTAGTTATCAATAGTTATAGCTCAGCGTTAAACTGGCTCACAATCGAAAGGGCCCGGGTTTGATTCACGGACGAGTAGAGACTTGTACTCAAGTTTCCTTACAAGTGTTTGCAACAAAACTGGATATAACACCACTGTGCTGCTACTCTAGGATGGTCAGAGTGCAGGATCAAGCGGTAACTGCTTCACTGTTACGTCCATCAGGCAGGACGGGACTCTCACAAGGTGGTGTAATGTGTCAGTCTGAGCTGGGAGACACCGACAGGACAATGTGGATATCGTCAAGTATACCATTAAAGGTTCATCAGCTACGGCAGCTTCAAAGATGTCGTTCCCGCGGACTTGGAACCTGTGATTCCACTTTCAATCCTCTCCCTGGATTGGTTGCATTGTGACGGAGTCCTTCCCATAAACCTCAGGGTCCTATCAAGTCCTGCGAGTCTTATAGGACTTCTCGGATAAATCTCCCTGCCCACCCAGGTTATGTCCTATAATATTACTGGCAGCCTGGGGAACTTCCCTGTATTTTCCCCCACGAGCTAAGGGATTATCCCTGTTGTTTTAATGTCTTATTCTACTTTCTTCTCCTCTCATATTAACTAATTTCTTTATTATCTTCCACACGTTCTTTAGTTTCCTTTTTTTTTAAATCGCAGATTCAGTAATCTCCTTATTTTGTCACACACTCGAGGAGGTTCTTGTTCCACGGAGTTAGACCTAGCTTCCCATCCCCTAGGCGCCGTGTGACCCATACGAGTTTAACGCTCCTCGGTAAGTTTAATATTGTTATTTGTCTCACAATCGGTAATCTTCTTTGTTTCCATGTCACGTGTTGTGTTACCCATACGGGTTTGGCTTTTTTTTTTAAATAACCCATCTCTTATTCGGTAAGCTTCTTGACATCTGCACAGTCATTGATATTATCATGCAAGGTTCCCTGCAAGGCTTCCTGCAAGATTCCCTGCAAGATTCTCTGCAAGACTCCCTGCAAGAAACAGTATAGTCCCAGTAAATCTCTCTGTGAGTCAGGCGTTTAAGGGCGTAGCTTTTATTTAACCTCCCTGGCTTCCTTTGCTCCCTCCTGGCAGTTCCCCTCCATGCCCTCTTCATTCTTGACATCAGTTTCTCTTTGTTCCTCCCATTCCATCCAACTGTGACGTCAAATTTTTCCTATTTGACATCCTTTTATCCCTTCAACTTTTTAATTCCTTTCCATTTCATTCTTTCCATTCAATTAATTTCCTTTCGATTGAGCCTATCCTCTCTTCCCATCCTCTTCCATTGCATCCTTGTAAATGCCCATCTCATTTTCTTGGCTTGTCACTCCTTGCTCCCTGTATCTGTCTCTTTTATGCCATTCTTCCCTCTATCTTTCCTCCCTACTCTCCCTCTCTGTCACGTCACTACGTCACTACACACAAAAAGGACCGAGTGATTATTTCGATTAATAAATACTACTACCACTACTGCTGCTGCTACTACTACTACTACTACTACTACTCTCCGTCTCTTACCCCTGACAGCATCACTCACCTCCCTCCAGAGAAGTCTGGAGTCTGTTGGATGATCTCCCAGGCTGAACGTCCCCCGCACAACGCGTTGTGTTTGGTAGGTGAGACTCTGTTGTGGTTCTTTCCGTTACACAGCAGTCGAACCTAAGGGAAACACACGAAACCGGTTACTTGGCTGGGCGGTTAAGAGATTTTATTCGTATTAAACTGGAAGGATAGTAACCCAAGATAATTCAAGAAAGTCAAGCAGTGGAGAGAGGGAATAAAGGATAAATTAAGTTAAGAGAGGGCAGAGGATAAGATAAAATGCAAGTCACAAAGCAGTAGTAATGGAAGGAGCAGTATACACGAGAAGCTGATAGACCCATAATGTTGCTCAAGTCCAAAGGAGGCAGACATGTAGCAGATTTGTTAAGCTGAAATACTGAGTGGGAGGGAGAGAAGAAGGAAGAGAGGGAGAGAAGAGGAAAGAAAGGGAGAGCAGAGGAGAGGTAGAGGATAACGTATATACCGAGATGGGTGGTGTGAAGATTACTCAGGGGTAAAAGAGGACAGGAATGGTGTTGGGGACAGTATACATTTTGTACTAACGTCATTAGGTAAGCATATACTTCTTACTCAAAACTTGAATACCACCAGGAGGTACTGGAGTTTTTTTTTTTCACACTGAACTGTAGTATTTTCTTACACAGGCTAAGACACTCCAGCAACCCCTGGAGGTGTCCTAACAAAAAAATAGGACAATTCAACAAATACTGAAGTGTTTGAACACTGGACTGGAGCGTTTTCCTAAACAGGATATGACATTCAAGCAGTATTTTTCAATAGACTGGAGGATTTGTAGATTTTTCTAACACAAATTTTTTTGATGATGGATGAGACCCACAACAGTTTTCAACACACATTACCTATTTTCACAGCTAGAAGGACAAGGGAAGTAAAGGGTGTAAGGAAACCTGGCCAAATGTTTATCCGTGCCTGGGAATCGATACTGGGGCCATGCGATTGTGAGCGGAATACTCTCACCCTTTGGAGATAGGAGTGAGTGAGGGAGGTAGTGAGGGGGATAGTGAGGGGGATATATATGTCAGTGGGAAAGAGGAACAGAAGTTGTGACCCAGTGGGAGGGAAGGATGATGCGTTCCCCAAAGGAAGGGTTAGGAGGGAGGGTGGGAGAGATGGAAGGTTAGTGCCATGGTCCAGGTGGAGGGTGGGAGGAGGGTCGGGGAAGGAATTTTTATGGGAAAAGTAGGAAATTCCATCTGTTATTAAGACCACAGCAACACCGAGGGATCCTGGAGCCATAAGAAATAGACGTTAGACGTACGATGTCGACTACGACTTACGACGTTACACTTACTACCTTAAACTTACGACCCTTTCGACGTTACACAAACGTTAAACTTACGACGCTAGACCTCCGACGACAGACTTACTACGATGGAGAACGTAGTCACAATACTGCGACTGGAACAATAAATAACCCGTACATAGGAGAGTACGTGCCCACACTTATATCTGGGGTCTGGCTGTGTCAGACCCATGTCACCCCTGTGATATGGGTCTGACGCTTTACGCTTCTTCCTTCCCTCAGAGAGAATTTTTCCTATCTATTGCTTGCCTTGCAACAATGCATAGCTCCTGTTAACGCACAGTGTGTGTGTGTGTGTGTCGTGCCGAATAGGTAAGACTTGCGATTTTGGCTTAAATAGCAACGTTCTTCTTGCCAAATAAGAAAAGCAAAAATCTGTGTGTGCAATAATTCGCAAAATTCATTCTGAACCTAACGAAAAAAATATTTCATTATGTTTGTTTATTATTAAATTATTGTAAACTTATCTAAAATATATTTAGTTGGATTAGAATAAATTAAACTGCGTTTGTTATAATAAGGTTAGGTAAGTTTTCTAAGGTTCTTTTGATACAAAATTATTAATTTTTACATGAACATAAAAGAAAAAAATTATCTTTATGTCAAAGAGAAATCTTTAGAAAGGACTTAATTCTAAACGAATTATTTCTAAATAACCAGTTTTACCTATTCGGCACGAAAAACACACACACACACACACACACACACACACACACACACACACACACACACACACACGTGTTACATTAGCAGTAGTGAGAACGATGATCGTTTGGCTCTTCTCGAAGAGACGGGGGTGAGGGAGGGGAAAGTGCCAAAGAAAAAAGGAATTGAGGGGGAAGTGAAGTGAGAGGAGTTAGGAGGAAGGAGAGAAGTAATAGTAGTGCCACGTGAAACTTTATGACGACTCTGCCATTCCAAAATGTGTACCATGAAGATGTACTTACTGTGGGAAGCTCCGGGAAGGAGAGGATGGAGGTGCTGAGGTGGTTGTTGCTGTAGGACTCTGGAGAGAAAGAACACCCAGGCTGTGAGGGATCACACGTAGTGCCCTTTATGGCACCGTCAGCGCACCCTGTCGCCGCCCACTGGTGGGTGTTGGGGTCCCTGAAGGTGGGAGGGTAGAGTGGATCGTTGGTATGTCCGCGCTCGTCAAACACCCCCCAGCGGAACTTCGCCCATTCCGTCAGAAGCAAACGGGCGACGTGAGAGTGGGAGTCATTACTAGCAGCTCGCAGGAGATCGCCGCCCATCTGGATAAAGTCTCCCGGCCGGCCGCATCCTTGAGTTTGCTGTGTCCACGGCCGCGCTCCAAACACCGGATGGGGCGCAGTGACGCGGATGTGACCCTCTGTAGGTGACGACGAAGGCATCAGGGGCGTCAGGAGAGAGCAGGTGAGGGCGTCAGTTCGCCAGGCACGAGGTAAAGTCACCGTCACTTCCCTTAGAGATGCCCGACCTTCGGTAGCTGACCACATCTGACTGGACAGCTCTCGCAACACACTCTGTAGAAGACAAAAGGAAAGTTATCTTACTATAAGAATGTGGCAAAGTGCAAGATGCAATATAGCTAAATCTGTCTGTGGGTTTTAAAATCGCGTTTTTGAAAATAAGTGACAAACCAGAATGGGTCATTCAGTAACAGTATAGAGATGATTTAAATTGTAAAAGTGGAGTTGAGGGTTTAATAACTTCTTACTCGGTGCAGTAGGTTATTTTGTTAGAATAATAACAGGAAATCTGCATCGAACGTGGCACTTTCGGTGAGAATTGAAATGTCCGTTCATTAAAAATATCAAAAGTTAATTCTACGCGCCCTTTGATAAATATATGATGAAATGATTTTTTGGGGGCTACCTGTCAGTCCTCACCGAGAGGTTCCGGTTGTTTTACCAATGTGGTGTGTGGGAGAGTGAGCGCAGTTTTCCCACGCCCGACAACATTGTGAAGACGACCCCAGACTGATTACAGCTTTAAGTTCTTGCACAAGTATGTGGCCCTACAAGCAAACTTCGAGATTCGATATTTGCAATAAATTTTTTTTCCGCATTGCCGTGTTAGGAAAATTTCTGTTAGTGGGTATAGAGGCTGTGCATTACTTAAGGTATGACTGAGATATATGTGCTCCCACCGTCGTAGGAAACCAAGTTAGCTCTCCCGGGGATTATTACACAGCAAGAAATTCAAGACGCTGACGAACAGCAGGAGAAATAACACTTCTGATCAAAATTTTTGAGGGATTTTAAGAGATATCAAGCAAAGGCTGCGATGTATTCAATCGTTGTCTCTTTGAAGGTAGCTTCAAGCCACTCTGCCTTCTGGCGTCCGGATGATCTGTGAAAACATTTTCATAGTAATGCAGGGGTTAGAGGCACCACAAAGAGGTGGATAGAAAGCCAATACGAAGTTTGTGCAACAAACCTTTACCCGAAAGCGATTCTGATTTCTGAGGGTCTGTGGCCAAGCAATGGTTGATAAGAGGGTGTTGCAGTCACTTTGGATCCAAGAAAATAAACCAATTTCTCGTTTATCTTAGGGTGAAAAATGGGAAGCAGCTCCAAGAATAAAAGAAACCTCATGCCCTACCTAGTACACAACACCAGGACGCCACCTCATGAACTTACAGAACATGGCTTACCAACACTGCACGTTTATATAAGAGCAATAACTCTGTAATCATCTTCGAGCTAACACTGACAGCGCCCGAACGCCAGAGTTGTACGCTTTCAATCTCCACTCGGGAATCCGCAGGAAACCTTAGATAACGCCTAGGCCATCAGAGGTCCTTTCAGATTGCCATCTGATGTCTCACTGGAGGTTATCTGACATGGCCTACGATGATCCAATTTTCATCGGGTGAAGTGACAACCACCGCAACACTACCAACCAAAACAACATTAGAAGATACTAAATAGTGATTCTTTCTCATTCCGTCTATGAAATGAATTCCACGAAAGGGAAATATATTCCATCTAATGCCCAAAAGGAGAGAGAGGGTTGGCGTTATTTCAGATTCGACCTGAGAATGGGAAGACGAGATTCAGTTCCCAGGAATATAAGATTCAATTCCTCTTCATTGCGGCGACCATAAAACCTTCTTAAAAGGGCAAGACTTCAGAAACAATCAATGGAGATGTATATGTATATTCTTATGTATTAAGTATTTTGTAAATTTTGAAACCAGACAGCTGTAGACTATGGACCTTTATTATTTACTGTCCTAAGTTATATTATTTTACATTTGAGATATAATAGTTATTAGGGGAACACGCATGTTTTTCTGATGCTCTGTCTGCATCCCGCAGGGAGCTCTGACACCCCAAAGAAATCTCTGACATGTTATGTCTGGATCTCCTACTCCTCTATCTCCCTTCCACCTCCTCCTACTCTTCTCCCTCCACATCTTTATCCTCCTCCTTTTTCAGGAAGAAAATTTCCACGTTGTTTGTATATAGTTTTCAATATCCTCTTCCATGTCTTCCTCCTCCTCGTCTTCCAGGAAGAAAAATCCCGTAAGAACCGTCCCCAGGAGGCCTTTGTCGGAGGAGCGTCTCAAGACTTTAAACCTCAATGAAAGACAAATGGCTAATGAATGTAATAAAGGAAATAATGAGCGTAACGGAGGAGACGACGAAAGAAAAAAAAATATCAGAAACAATTCTAGCGTCTGGCGTTGCATTGTATCAGGTCATTGTATCAGGTCATTGCAAGATTGATGGACGGCTTTTGTCTGGCCCCTCAACGCCAGCGGTCGAAAGTCCGCTGGGACAACCACATCACCGAGGGAGAATCGACCTTGCGTATCCTGAACATAAGGAGCAAGTGCACGGCGTAGGTACTTTGCGGTTTGGTACCCTGTGAAAATAATCACCGAGCTGCCCAGAGGGAGGCCAAGATTGTAATCCTTCAGTTGGGACCCTTGGATGCTGAAGGGCTTTTAATCCAAGTATTTTGGAGCCACCCTCCCCTGGCGTAGTTAAAACCTTATTATCTCACAAGCCTTAGACGCTCCATGGCTCATACAGGTCTAGCGCCTCACTACAACTCTAATAACAAAAATAAGGAGAATCTGTAAGTACATTCCTTATTACACTTCCGTTTATAGGCTGGATGCCTATTTACAACAAACCTAAATATTGGAAATAACAACTAGCAGACGTTTCGGGTCGTTTTGGACCATTATCGAGTAGCTAGTAATAATGACCCAAGACGGCCCGAAACATTGTCTACATTCCACATATAATTCCTTTTCCTCTAGAACACCACAAAATACTTTGTATAATGACTGGCTCTTGATTCTTAATATTATTATTTTTTTTATTATCACACTGGCCGATTCCCACCAAGGCAGGGTGGCCCGAAAAAGAAAAACTTTCACCATCATTCACTCCATCACTGTCTTGCCAGAAGGGTGCTTTACACTACAGTTTTTAAACTGCAACATTAACACCCCTCCTTCAGAGTGCAGGCACTGTACTTCCCATCTCCAGGACTCAAGTCCGGCCTGCCGGTTTCCCTGAATCCCTTCATAAATGTTACTTTGCTCACACTCCAACAGCACGTCAAGTATTAAAAACAATTTGTCTCCATTCACTCCTATCAAACACGCTCACGCATGCCTGCTGGAAGTCCAAGCCCCTCGCACACAAAACCTCCTTTACCTCCTCCCTCCAACCTTTCCTAGGCCGACCCCTACCCCGCCTTCCTTCCACTACAGACTGATACACTCTTGAAGTCATTCTGTTTCGCTCCATTCTCTCTACATGTCCGAACCACCTCAACAACCCTTCCTCAGCCCACTGGACAACAGTTTTGGTAATCCCCCACCTCCTCCTAACTTCCAAACTACGAATTCTCTGCATTATATTCACACCACACATTGCCCTCAGACATGACATCTCCACTGCCTCCAGCCTTCTCCTCGCTGCAACATTCATCACCCACGCTTCACACCCATATAAAAGCATTGGTAAAACTATACTCTCATACAATCCCTCTTTGCCTCCAAGGACAAAGTTCTTTGTCTCCACAGACTCCTAAGTGCACCACTCACTCTTTTTCCCTCATCAATTCTATGATTCACCTCATCTTTCATAGACCCATCCGCTGACACGTCCACTCCCAAATATCTGAATACGTTCACCTCCTCCATACTCTCTCCCTCCAATCTGATATCCAATCTTTCATCACCTAATCTTTTTGTTATCCTCATAACCTTACTCTTTCCTGTAATCACCTTTAATTTTCTTCTTTTGCACACCCTACCAAATTCATCCACCAATCTCTGCAACTTCTCTTCAGAATCTCCCAAGAGCACAGTGTCATCAGCAAAGAGCAGCTGTGACAACTCCCACTTTGTGTGTGATTCTTTATCTTTTAACTCCACGCCTCTTGCCAAGACCCTCGCATTTACTTCTCTTACAACCCCATCTATAAATATATTAAACAACCACGGTGACAACACACATCCTTGTCTAAGGCCTACTTTTACTGCGAAAAAATTTCCCTCTTTCCTACATACTCTAACTTGAGCCTCACTATCCTCGTAAAAACTCTTCACTGCTTTCAGTAACCTACCTCCTACACCATACACTTGCAACATCTGCCACATTGCCCCCTATCCACCCTGTCATACGCCTTTTCCAAATCCATAAATGCCACAAAGACCTCTTTAGCCTTATCTAAATACTGTTCACTTATATGTTTCACTGTAAACACCTGGTCCACACACCCCTACCTTTCCTAAAGCCTCCTTGTTCATCTGCTATCCTATTCTCCGTCTTACTCTTAATTCTTTCAATTATAACTACCATACACTTTACCAGGTACACTCAACAGACTTATCCCCCTATAATTTTTGCACTCACTTTTATCCCCTTTGCCTTTATACAAAGGAACTATGCATGCTCTCTGCCAATCCCTAGGTACCTTACCCTCTTCCATACATTTATTAAATAATTGCACCAACCACTCCAAAACTATATCCCCACCTGCTTTTAACATTTCTATCTTTATCCCATCAATCCCGGCTGCCTTACCCCCTTTCATTTTACCTACTGCCTCACGAACTTCCCCCACACTCACAACTGGCTCTTCCTCACTCCTACAAGATGTTATTCCTCCTTGCCCTATACACGAAATCACAGCTTCCCTATCTTCATCAACATTTAACAATTCCTCAAAATATTCCCTCCATCTTCCCAATACCTCTAACTCTCCATTTAATAACTCTCCTCTCCTATTTTTAACTGACAAATCCATTTGTTCTCTAGGCTTTCTTAACTTGTTAATCTCACTCCAAAACTTTTTCTTATTTTCAACAAAATTTGTTGATAACATCTCACCCACTCTCTCATTTGCTCTCTTTTTACATTGCTTCACCACTCTCTTAACCTCTCTCTTTTTCTCCATATACTCTTCCCTCCTTGCATCACTTCTACTTTGTAAAAACTTCTCATATGCTAACTTTTTCTCCCTTACTACTCTCTTTACATCATTCCACCAA